CTGGAATAGCTGATGCATCGCAACAGCATGATAGTGCACATGTGTGACGTTGGGCGTTCATCTCCCTCCAAGCTGCAGGGGGTGGACTCCCCCCAGGTCTGGGGACACGGGCCCCTGCTGCTCCCCACCTCGGGCTCACTGCCCAGGTGCGCTCTCTGATTCTCAGGGGGCTGAGGACGGTGGCCCAGTTAGTGTGGCCTGGATATAGAAGAGTCTAGAAGAGCCACTGGAGGAGGGCATCCTGTCCTCGGACCAGACGTTAGATCTTTAGACTCTCCCTGGAGGGGGAGAAGCCTGACTCGCTGTGACCCGAGGACTGAGGCCAGGGGTGGGCAACCTTTGTGAGTGCGTGCCAAAACCAGCAAAATCTCTGACTCAAAACTCTTCTGCGTGCCAACCCTAATTTTTTGAGAACATGTTACGCCTACTTCATATCTCTTAAGGTGTACGTATGTGAAGAACCTTGAAGAAATAATAAAATTCATTCAAGCGACAAAAACAGTCTATGATGATGAAAAATACATTTATTTTTTTATGTCTACATGTACACTGATGTCCGACAGAAAACTTTATGGCTCCGTTGGTATTATCAGTGGGACTTTTGCTGCTGCATCACTGATGACGGAGATTTTACATCAGGTTTCTATTTCGTGACCTTCAGAGATATGCACCAGCTACTACTTTCATCCGTCAGGCTACTCCTGTTACGAGACTTAACAAAATTCATCACTGAGAACAAAGACTCACAAGCGTGTGTGGATGAAACCAAAACACTGGTCGGATCTAGGAAGGCAGGGAGAGTTAAGGCAGAGGCATAGAAATTGCTCTTCCCCTCTCTCATCAATCCATGTCTATGGTCTTTAAGATAACTTGTTATGTAAAATTATTTATTTATCTAAGATGCACCTACACTGAATTTATCTGAAAAATAAAAAGTCGATATTAAGAAAAAAATTGTAAATGGAAGGTTATAAGAGAGGGTTTCACGTGCCAGCAAAAGTTATTGGCGTGCCATGTTTGGCACGCGTGCCAGGGGTTGCCCACCCCTGACTGAGATGGTATCGTACACACGCGTCACTCTTGAGGCATGAGGTGGGGCTCCAGGGCATGTGGCTGCAAGAACTGGCCCCCACCTCACACCTTCTTCATGCACCTGGACCTTCTTCGTCACATCGCCGCGGCTGCTGCAGGAGCAGGACGTGTGCTGTGGAAATGAGTCACAAACCCGCGGTGTCACACTTCTGTGTCACTTGTTGAGATCCGAATGGTCTTCAGGTGGAGGAATCCTCTTCCACAATAAAGCTCACTGCCGCCTAGTACGTTGGCTCCTTGGATTTGCCTCTGGAACCTGTTAGCGCGTGTGCTGGGCATGCTCTGTGGGCAATGCAGCATTTGTGCTGCTCGCAGCAACCAGGACCCGGAAGGCGTCTGTAAGCTCCTGGCAAATAGGATGAGCGTAGGCTCCCTGCGGCTCAGTCATTCGCGGGGTTTCCCGGGGAGGCTGCAGGAGCTCCGCAAACAGGAGTATCGCCTGTTGTAACGTTTCATCTGTAGGGTCTGGCAGGTATTCAGCCCACGGTACAGGCCTGATGAAAGAAGCAGTTGAGTAAATATAACTGAATAAATAAACGAGAGGGCGAGGTTTAAGCCCAGGTTCGCGTACCTCTAAAGATCACCCTCTTTCTACACTACCCAGGAGTTTGCTCTAAAACCATTAATTAACAATAACACAATTACTACTTCTAATCTTAGTATCGTAGCATCACTTCACTCTATACAAAATAAGAAATGTTAATTTCATGACTTACCTTTTTATTTCTGGACTAGAGGCGCAGTGCACAAAGTTCGTGCACTGGCAGGGGCCCTAGTGGCTGCCAGTTTGACCTTTCTGCCCCAGGTCAAACTCCTGGACGAACTCCCGGTGGAGGGAACAATTTGCATACTACCCTTTTTTATATAGGACAGGATAAACGTGCAGGAAGTTGTTGAAATAAAGCAATCCCATTTTAATGTGTATCCCTCATCATTTAATCGACACCCTCTTGCCTCGGGCTTTGGGTTTCACCTCTTCGAGATTCATTGGCTATTCGGCGCGCCAATCTGGATGTCACTAGGTCAGAATTGGGGACCACCCTGGGAGAGACGGGCTTCGTCACTGAGAAGGGAGCCATCAGACAGGCGCAGTGACTTTTCTGGCGACTTGGAGGATGGGGCGGAGGGAGGCGCTCCTTGCACCAGCGAGTCGCTGCCCCCTGGCGATGCCCAGGCTTTGCCCCCTCATTCAGCTCTTCCTGCTGGTCCCAGCCTCCCGCACTGTGAGGCCACAGATGACTCCAGCCTCCTGGCCCCGAGGAGGCTTCCGTTGACCTGGGTTGTGTTATGTTGATTAATCTGAGCAACTCCACAGCACTGAGTCACAGGAAGCCTGTGATGGGGCTCAGATGCCCACTGCTGACGTCCTGTCTGCCACCAGCACAGCTGGGCCTAGACACCCCCGCCCTCTGAGTCCAGTTTGCTACAGAGAGTATGATGGCCGTCCTGCCCCACCCACACTGAGTGGCCAGCTCAGTGTCGTTATTTACATGAAGAAGTTCGCAGGCAGAAAACCCCGCACGGCTGCTGGCCATCCCGTGGGAAAGGGGCAGGAAATGTACATACCTGGGCCTGTCTCCTGCCCACCCATCTGCACCCGCCTCCCTCCCCCCCAGCCAAGCGCCCCGAGGCCTCGCTACCACACTTGTCTTGTGCTCCATCTTCTTACTTGCAGAGACCCTCCCAGACCCTGGGGACCTGCTTTCTCCTCGCTGCCAAGTCCCATCTCCCCTCAAAGACCCAACTTGAGAGTGTCCGTCTCCGTCAAACCTTCCGAAGCAAGATGAGGCGGCTCCCAGGTCCCCCGCGGTTCCCTGGCCCCGTCCCCCTTCGGGGTGTCAGCGTTCACGCCCCGAGGGTGTCCCCGTGCCTCTGTGTGCCAGGAGCTGGGCTATTGTGAGAGGGAAGCAGAAAGATGAGTCAGCGAACCCCTGCCTGTAAGACTTTTCCCGTCGTAGCTGCAGAGAACACACGGATGGTCACCAGATGGGAGGGCGGGTGGGAGCGGGGGAGAACAGTTACTGGATTAGAAAGTGCAGACTGTCAGTTCTAAGAATAGCCACGGGTGTGCAGACCGGCAGCCGGAGCCCAGTCACTAATGGGGTGGTAATTAGGTGTGGTGCCAGGTGGGTCCTGGATGTGTGGGGTGATCGCTTCGTAAGTTAGAGCGATGTCTAATCCTATGGCGTCCACCTGAAGCGGATATAATAGTGTACATCAACTGCACTCAAAAAATAAATGTAAAAATTGAGAATAAATTAAAGACTTTTCCAATCTAGGAAACAAAATGTAAATAGTGTTTGATAATTATCTCTGTGAGAGGCTTTTTAAAATCAAAGAGGAGGGGTTAGTCGTTGAAAGATGATTTTCGGGTGGGGAGACCAGGGAAGACTATAACCCGGTACACATTCTTATTTATTGTCTCACAAATAGATACACATCATTTTCTTCTTTAAAGAATAAAATCCTACGCACCAAAGAAACACCTGGTATCGTTACCAGGATTTAAAGATGATGAATTAGAACACAGAATGAACTAGGGCAATGATGGCGAACCTATGACTCGCGTGTCAGAGGTGACACGCGAACTCATTTTTTTGGTTGATTTTTCTTTGTTAAGTGGCATTTAAATATATAAAATAAATATCAAAAATATAAGTCTTTGTTTTCCTATGGTTGCAAAGATCAAAAAATGTCTATATGTGACACGGCACCAGAGTTAAGTTAGGGTTTTTCAAAATGCTGACATGCGGAGCTCAAATGGTTCGCCATCACTGAACTAGAGCCTGGACTTAGACTTCCTTTGTGTAGGGTTTGCAGTGGGTGAGGGGGGAGCATTGTTCAGGACGCCTGTAGCTATTTTGTGCTTTTAGCAGAGGCGTGTGTGTGTAGCGGCCTCTGACTGTACCGTGTGCTGCTCTGATTCTGTGCGGAGGGCCTCGGAGAAGAATTCCGAGCTACACCCAGAGGAATCCTCGGCCATTCACAGGCACTGTGAAGGCAGCACCACGCAGAACCCTTGTGGAGAGAATCTCATGCATAAAGGGTTTCCCTGACCTGAACTACAAGGGCCTGGGTGAGGCTCCCCCTCGGTGAACGCCGAGTGCGCTCAGGCATCGCCTAAACTCTAGATGTGCCACCCGATGACTCCACAGCGGCCATGGGGCACCCAGCCCCACTGTGAGGAGCCCAGTGCGCCAGCTGCGCGTCCGCCCACGGCGTCGCCGGGAGAAGGAAGCAGCGAACCGCAGGCCTGCGCAGGAGGCCGCCTCAGGGTGGACCTCCTGGCCTTCCCTGGGAGAACGCTTCCTCTCCCGGCGGTTTAGCTGGATGCGAGCCTCCCGTGTGGTCAGACAGAGCGTGGAGCTGTGCGCATCTCCCTGGCGCCCTGGGCTGCTGGGGGCTCGCTCTGTGGAAACCCCGTGCCCCTGCAGTAGCCCACCGTGAGCCATGTTTCTGCTCGTTGTAAAATCCCAACCTCTGGGAGTGATCAGATGCTAAATTACTGGGGGTTTTGCTTGAATGTCAATGTGCGTACTCTTCAAAGCCATTGTGTTGATTCCTGGTCAGTAGTACAGTTCATATCAGAGACCTTTCTTTTTCGTATATGTATATATTTTTTTTTATTAATTTCAGAGAGGAAGGGAGAGGGAGAGAGAGAAACATCAATGAGGAGAGGGAATCATGAACCGGCTGCCTCCTGCACGCCCCCTACTGGGGACCAAGCCCACAACCCAGGCAAGTGCCCTGACCGGGAATGGAACCCTGACCTCCTGGCTCCTCGGTCAGCGCTCACCCGTTGAGCCCCCCGGCCGGGCCCACAGACCTTTCTTGGATCCCTCGATCTTTGAGCCGTCGCGCTCACTCACAGAGCCCTGTGTCACCCGACTGTGTTTTCCCTCCCACAGTTGTGCTCCGCCTCTGCGTGGCCTTCAACGTGGACGTGAAGAATTCGCTGACCTTCAGCGGCCCCGTGGAGGACCTGTTCGGCTACACTGTGCAGCAGTACGAAAACGAGGAAGGCAAATGGTAAGCCAGGCGCGGTGGGGTGGAGGCGTGGAGTTTCCCACAAGGTCAAGAACGCTCTCACCGGGCTCCGGCTGGGTGATGGAGATTCCGCAGAATGACCCGCTGACCACCGAGATGCAGTCGGTCGCCTGGTGATGGACACTGACAGAGGGAAACAGGAAAACGGTCTTGGCGACATTAAAGGAAGTGAGGTGATCGTTTTTGTTCCTCTTAGAAAGAGAGAGGGAGAGAAAGAGGTCCACAAGGACCTCCCTCCACTGGGTTGACGTCTGGGAAGGTCCTTGTCCAAACAGTCTTCGTCCTGTAGCGATGCGGTTATGGCGAGAGCACTTTCATTGTCCCTATAGAGGCGCTGGCACGCAGGGGAGAGGCTGGGGGGCAGGTGAGGTGCTGCCCTTGAAGGGTGAACGTTGCTTGCACGGTGGAATATCAGGCTTATGTTTGGGCGCCTTCCGGAACTGCTGAGTTTGGTCTAAGGGTTGTAGTGAGCCTTCCTGAATTTCCATCACATGCTTTAAACACGGGAATATGGTGGTGCTCACCTCAGGTAGGATTTGAGTCCCCTTCCAGGTGTGCAGCATCATCATGGGCCGCCTGTAAACACCACCGAATGATTGCCTCCCCCGGCCGGGGTGGCTCAGGGCATTGGGCGTTGTCCTGCACCCTGAGGTGGCCGGTTCGATTCCCAGTCGGGGCCCAAGCCCAGGGTGCGGGCTGAATCCCTAGTCGGGGAGCCTGCTGGAGACAGCCAATCGATGTTACACTCTCCCAACGACGTTTCTCTCTCTCCCTCTCTCTCTGCACTTGGCTGGGCTGGAGAGCAGATCTCACGGCCTCTCCAAATCACCTGCAGCACCTTTTCAATTTTATATCATGAATTTGTATTCGTCATTATATATATCTACACTAATAAAAGAGAAACATGGTAATTTGCGTATGACCGCTACCCTTCCCATTGGCTAATCAGGGCAATATGCAAATTAACTGCCAGCCAAGATGGCAGCCGGCAGCCAGGCAGCTTGAAACTAACATGAGGCTTGCTTGCCTCAGTGACGGAGGATCGTTGGAGGAAACCAACGTTCCCCGCCTGCGGCTGCAGGCCTCTGAGCGGGCAGTTTAAGAAACATTGTAACAAATACCGCCGGACTTCAGCCAGCAGATTCACAACATTGTAAGCAAAGGCCAGAAACCTACTTTCAGCCGTGGAGGCCTAAGAGCTCGAGCCAAGCCTCAAGGTAAAGCTGGCCCAGAATAAAAAAAAAAAAAAAAAAAAGAAAAAAAGGAGTGGTTGGGAACTTCAGTCACTCCCAGCCTGAAAACAGCCCTCAGCCCCTCACCCAGACTGGACAGGCACCCCAGTGGGGACCCCCACCCTGATCCAGGACACCCTTCAGGGCAAACCAGCCAGCCCCACCCATGCACCAGGCCTCTACCCTATATAGTAAAAGGGTAATATGCCTCCTGGCACCGGGATCAGCGTGACAGGGGGCAGTGCCCAAACCCCCTGAGCAGCCCTGCTCTGTGCCTGATAGGGGGGAGCTCCCTAACCCCCTGATGGGCCCTGCTCTGTGTGTGACGGGGGCAGTGCCCCAACCCCCTGATTGGCCCTGCTCTGTGTGTGACAGGGGGTGACGCCACAACCTCCCCATCGACCCTGCCTTGAGTGTGACAGGGGACGGTGCCCCAACCCCCCAATTGGCCCTACCCTGAGCGTGACTGAGGGTGGCATCACAACCTCCTGATCGCCCTGCTCTGTGCATGACGGGGCAGCGCCCCAACTCCCCAGTTGGCCCTGCTCTGAGCCTGACCAGGGGCTGCACCTAGGGATTGGGCCTGCCCTCTGCCACCTGGGAGCAGGCCTAAGCCAGCAGGTCGTTATCTCCCGAAGGGTCCCAGACTGCGAGAGGGCACAGGCCGGGCTGAGGGACCTCCCCTCCCCCCCAAGTGCACAAATTCTTGTGCACCGGGCCTCTAGTAAAAAAAATAATAAAATGTTTCAAAATAAAATAAAATAAAATAAAATAAAATAAAATAATAAAATAAAATAAAATAAAATAAAATAAATTAAATGTTACTCCCCCAGGGAAATGTAATCACTTAGGACCAGAGCTGAAAATACAACTCCAGTCTCTCCACACCAGCCTGGTTGCTTTTTCTCCAGTAAAACTACATTGAAAAGTGACTGTTGACAATACTGTCTGCAGCACCACACACTCCTTATTGATGTGTGTGAGGCTTTGTGAGCACTTGGCTGTATATGGGTGTCAGATACTTCTTTTAAAAAATATATATATTATTGATTTTTTACAGAGAGGAAGGGAGAGAGAGAGTTAGAAACATCGATGAGAGAGAAACATCGATCAGCTGCCTCCTGCACAGCCCCTACTGGAGATGTGCCCACAACCAAGGTACATGCCCTTGGCCGGAATCGAACCCAGGACCTTTCAGCCCACAGGCCAATGCTCTATCCACTGAGCCAAACCGGTTACAGCAGGTGTCAGGTATTTTAATTCCACTTCAACATTCCATGTTTACAATGATTTTATGGGAAAAAGGTGTGAAAAGTCAGGGCAACAAAAACAATGTGAGCAACTGAGCTTAAAGTGAGCAAACGACACACTTCTCTGTGCCCAGGCCTCCGGGGTGCCGTGGTGGCCCATATTGTTCCGAAGAGACCCGGGACGGGTGGTAACACAAAATCCATGTCAGAAACATGTTTGCGTGTTCTGTGTCTATAGAACCTAGAGCACGTACTTGAAGAAACGGGCTGTAGGACAACGGACAGATTTGGGAGAACACAGATTCTGTTTTTTTCTCCAGAGGTGGGCGCCTTTGTAAATCATATTTACTGCTCCTGTTCTGGGCGTTCATCAACCTCGGATTTTTTTTAAATCACCCTGCCCCATCTTCCATCTTGGCCAAATTGGCCTGGAGAAGGAGCCCTCGCTGCCCAGGACTTGTGGTCTGTGTGTGAGCGAAGCTTTGCTTTTCTTATTTAGAAAGAACTCGAAGTGAACAGAACAGGCCGGTGCCGTTCCCGGTAGGAGTTTATGGGGAGTGTGACTTCCCTCCCCCTTTGGCCCGGGACCCGCGCTGTGTCTCTGAGTCTCTGATGGAGGCCAGCTGCGCTCCTTAGGGGGGTGAGAGCCGAACCCGTGAGGAAAGTCCCAAAGCGCAGGCTTGGTGAACAACTGTGCTTTGACCAGAAAAAACTGACATGAGCTGAGCACTGGAAGCCTCCAGATTCTGGAAGAACCACAGGTCCGGCCGCTGGGCAGCCACGGGTGCTGGTGTGGGCCCTCCCTCCTCTGGCTTCGAGCCCCCAGCAGGTGCACCCCTCTTCTCATTGCCACTCCCACAGCCTCCCTGAGGGCGCCAGTGACCTCACGGCCTGGATTCTCGCAGTAGGTTTTTATGACGCGAATGCAATCCTCGGCCCCACGTCCATCTCAGACCCCACTGACCTCGTGCCTTCCGCACAGGACGCTGCTGTCGGCCAGGTAAGGGCACCAGAGGGCTCAGTGACTGAGTCCTGTGTCCCAGGCACCGATGTTTTAAATAAAGCCCAATCCAACTTGGAGTACACAGACTTTTATTTTTATTTTTTTCTAATCCTCACCTAAGGATATGTTTTATTGACTTTTAGAGAGAGAGGAAGGGAGAGGGGGGAGAAAGAAACATAAATGTGAGAGAGAAACAGCGATTGGCTGCCTCCCGTACGCACCCCAACCAGGGATCGAACCCGCAACCTGGGCCTTGCCCTGGCTGGGAATCGAACCCGAGACCTTTCGGTGCACAGGGCGACACGCAGCCAGGACACTCCGCCCCAGCTAAAAAGACTCTTCAGAGCTTCTAGCAAATGCGCTCCTCCATGTGTGAGCACATGCTTCTTTCACATGGCTTACAGCACCTTTTGAAGGTGACGTTTTCTCTTTGCCAAGCTAGTCACTTGTTCGGCTCACCTCCTCCCCACTCCACCTGTCCTGACCGCCAGCACAGCAGCTAATGGGCACTGCCCGGCTCCCCCTGGAAGACCAAACACTTCATTTACTCGCTAACACCTGGCAGGCAGCGTGCTGGGCATTGGGCAGTGACTTGGCTTGGACATCGGAGAGGGTTAGGGGAAAAGAGTGTTCACAAAATAATGTGAACACGAGATAACGATCTCCAGGATCTATTTTTTACAGAGAAAATGACCATAAACATGACATGCGGGAGTCAGAGACCGGCTACTCTGCAAATAAACAGAATGGTCACTATGACAATTTTGATCAGCCAGCATGTCTCAGTTTACCACCTTTTATTGGAGCTCCTTGGGTGTTTCTCTAGAGATTAGATCTAGAACGTTCTGTAATCTTAATCTGCTGACAAACCATTGTAATAAATCAGAGTTGATCATGTCGAATCCCTCTTTGAGAGCTTCAGCGGTAACCACCCCGCCTCCGTGAGGAAACCTCAAGCTCTTAGACTACAGAGCACTCAGCATCAGAGCACTCAGCACTGAACACTCAGCACTGAACATCAGCATCCGAGCACTCAGGATCACAACACTCAGCACCAGAACACTCAGCACTGAACACTCAGCATCAGAGCACCCAGCATCTGAACACTCAGCACTGAACACTCAGCACTGAACACTCAGCATCTGAACACTCAGCACTGAACACTCAGCACTGAACACTCACCATCTGAACACTCAGCACTGAACACTCAGCACCTGAACACTCAGTATCTGAACACTCAGCATCTGAACACTCAGCACTGAACACTCAGCATCTGAACACTCAGCATCTGAACACTCAGCACTGAACACTCAGCATCTGAACACTCAGCACTGAACACTCAGCACTGAACACTCAGCACTGAACACTCAGCACCAGAGCACTCAACATCTGAACCCACTCACCTTTCCAGACCAGCATCGGCTCCAGCTACAGGAGCTCCTTGAACTTGTCAAAAGAGCCGTGTTCTTTCTCACTTCTGAGACTTCGCTAAGGTCAGGCCTAGTCAGGGTCGTGCAGTGCGTGTATAGTTCTGATTCCCCTCTAAGTTTAAACAACCTGAAAATTGAGTTTTATCCAAGACACCGAGCCTGTCGAATGTTCTTCATAAACACTAATCATCTCTGTAGCCTCAACTTAGAGACTTTTTAACTGTAAAAGTAATGTAATCAATCACATTATAATGGGCTTTGAAAGTATTGAGGGGATAAAACCTAACCATAACCTTCTGGATATCATTTATGTTTTTAGTGAGCTCCCTTTTAATCTATGTTTTACATAGACATAGCTGTTCCATCATCTGAAAAAAAGATTATAATAATAATAAAAACTAACATGTAGATAGCACATCCTACGGGCAAAATACCTTTCTAGGCATTTTACATGCATTAGCATTTTATTTTCATGGTGAGCCTGTGAGGTAGCTACTCTTATTGTTCCCATTTTACAGATGAAGAAAACAAGGCACCAAAGGTAATTGACTTGTCCTAAACCATACAGCTGAGTAAATGGTATAGCCATGGTTGGAACTCATGAAGTCCAACATCGAAGCTCCTGCTATATTTCATATATATATATATGTGTATATACACACACACACACAGACACACACATATATATATTATCTTTATATACAAAAGGCTAATATGCAAAGTGTCCCCTCGGGAGTTCGACCGGGAGACCAGGAGTTTGATCGCTCACTCTGACGTGTGCTGACCACCAGGGGGCAGCACAGAGCAAAGGAAGGCCCCGGCTGGCAGCTGGAAGGCCCCGATCAGCCCTGATCACCAGCCAGGCCTAGGGACCCTCCCCGTGCACAAATTTTGTGCACCGGGCCTCTAGTATCCTATATATAATGTAATATGTTACATTACATACTACATGGAAAGTACTTAGACCAGTGTCTGGACCATGGCATGAAGTCATTAAATGCTAGCGATGATCAACATGGCTGTTTTAAGGACTGCATTGAATGTCATTTGTTACACTTCACTTTAAGTCTTAGGTTATCACTAAATGAGGTAGGTTTACCTTACATTAGGTCAAAAGTAATTTTTGAGCCCATCAAGCTATCTTATTACCCATTATTATTATTTTTTTAAATCCTCACCTGAGGATATTTTTCCATTGATTTTCAGAGAGAATGGAAAAGAGAAAGATAGAGAGAAATATCGATGTGAGAGAAACACATCGATTGGTTGCCTCCTGCATGCACCCAGTCCAGGACTTAGGCCAGGGAAGAGCCTGCAATCAGGTATATGCCCTTGACCAGAATCGAGCATGGGACCCTTTGGTCTGCAGGCCAACACTCTATCCACTGAGCCACACCAGCTAGGGCTTATTACCCATTATTGTTTATGCCTGCACAATATCCTATAGAATGACCCTGCAATAATTAATTCATCGTGGCTGTTGGTTATTTTAGTCTTTTTTTATTATAGATAACACTTTGAGCATTATCTTTATGCATTACACTTTCCCCCTTAATTTAGGTCATTCTTTTAAAGGACAAATCCCCAGAAGTAAGAATTATGTACTAAAGGGCTTGAGCATTATTATGCTTATTTATTCTTATCAGAAATGCCTTTGCAAAGGCCTTGTATCATAACTATGTTTTAGGGAGTCTGTTCAACAGTTCAATATTTACAATGTGAACTTCTTTCCATTAATTCTAGCTTCTCCCAAAGGGCCTGTGCAGAATAAATCCCATCCCTTTTCAATATGACAGACTTTCAAATTAAATTTTTAAAAATGTTTGCCTTATCCACCCACACCCCGTTGTGCCCTCTCAGCTCCCCTTCAGACAGATTATACCCTGATCACCCCCCCACTCCTGCAAGCCTCTCTGGTCTGACCCAGTCCCCAGCCTGCAGCCATCTGAGCCACAGTCTCCCAGGACATTCCATGGTCCTCGTCCCTGTGAACTTGGAGATTCCCGACAGGGCCGGGCAGCAGAGCAGGCGGGTTATCACTTCCTCGACCGACCCCGACCGGGGCATCTATTTCCAGCGACACAGCCTCGGGTCACATTCACATTTTTGGCACGAAAGCCGCTGCTGGCTTGTGGGTTCTTTCTGTCACTGAAACCCCCTCTGGTGTTCCCACGAGGACTCTTCAGCCAGGTTTCCCACATCCTGTGTGGATGGCGCTGAGTGACGTTATTGACGTAGGTTTTCACATAAACTTTAACTAGTTTGCTTAAGTTTCCTTTCCCAGGATGTTGCGATACTTCCAAATCGATGTACTCGACGAGGGCCTTTATGCTCTCTGAGTCTTCGTTCAGGCAGGAACAAAGATGCAGGCTGAGACCCCCGAGCACAGCCGTGGGCACTGGACAGGAGTCCCCTGGCTACCAGCGGTCAGCGCCTGTGGACAGTGCTTCACCAGCAAAGCATCCGCAGCTGCGAAGTCCCCCCAGTGCCGTAACAATCAGCCACATTCACCCGCCCCACTTCTGAAGGCATCTAGGAGACCCGTGTAACGGCTCGCTGGGACTCAAATGCATCATGACTACATTGTGTCCATTAATTTTTATCTGAGTGATTTTTTAATCATCTAAAAAGACATAAATGATTTTTACCCGGGTCTCATAGCTGTCCTTGTTTTCTAAGTACTCACAGACCAGCACAGACTACTGTTAAATCTATGCTGGGCAAATGTCTGCAGTTCCTAACATCTCTATTAGATTCTCAGTCCTGGTGAGAAAAGCTCATCTGTGCGTCCATGTGTTTTTTTATAAACTGACACAGCAGCAGGCTGAACCAATACTTATCATTTCAGCCCCCAAATAACAAATATGATAAGTCATCTATATAATAAAAGCCTAAGCAACCATTACAGCAGAGTGATGAGAATGACCAGTCGCTATGATGCACACTGACCACCAGGGGGCTGACGCTCAATGCAGGAGCAGGCCTAAGCCAGCAGGCAGACATCCCCCAAGGGGTCCTGGGCTGCAAAAGGGTGCGGGCTGGGCTGAGGGACACCCCTCCAGTGCACAAATTTGTGCACTGAGCCTCTAGTATCAAATAAAATGAAATATTCTGAGCCCTCTCGCCTGGGAACTTTCTGGGTCCTGTGATTCAGATCCGCCTGCAGGGTGGAGAAGACGCTCTGCTCACGTCGGATGCAATGGAATTGACCCTGAAGGAGGGCTCTCTGGTGATGTCGATGGGAACTGCCCTCAGTTGTCTTAGAAGAGTCACAGGACAACTAACGTAAAGTGTTTCTTGTTGTTCAGAAGGGTTCATCGAGTTGCTTGCCTTCCAGGGTGCTCATCGGCTCCCCGCTGGTTGGCCAGCCCAAGAACAGGACGGGTGACGTCTACAAGTGTCCCGTGGGGAGGGGAGAGGCACTGCCCTGCGTAAAGTTGGATCTACCAGGTACGTAAAGTCTGAGCGGGAAAGTCCGGTCCTACAGGCTGCCCCGTGTTCTAACTGCAAATAAATGTCAACTAACCCAAGAAAATATTCAAAGTGCCCTATACACTTCCTTCCGTTCTTATCAGACAACTTCAGGTAAGATGGCATTTTGAGCCCCTCGGCCCTTCATTTGCTGTAGAAATTCACTAGAGGCTAACCACAGATCTAGACGGTCTTCCTAGTGCTGTTGCATGTACCTGCCTCCATTGTTCAGCATCCTTTGTGAACCAGTGTGACATGAACAACTGTTCCAATAAACCCACCCATCCCCTTTCCTCAAAAAAAATCCAACTTAGCGTTTGTGTTTTACATGAAACTAGCACAAGAGGAATTGCAATAGGTGAGTCAAGCTTGTAAAAGAGAAGAGCGCAAGGTATGTTTCCATCGAAGTAGAGGTTTTTGGTAGAAACATCACTGTCGCTAGAACGTGACTAGAAAGTTCTGCGAGAACTCTCCAGGAATTAGAAACGTCGGTGTGCTATGCAACGTGAGGTGCCATGGGAGTGACTCATAACCCGCAGGGTCACTTCAGATACTGTCCTTCCAGCTCTCCCTTTAAACATTTCCTAGTCGTTTGCTTATTGCAAACATGTTTGCCTGTACAGTCCTGAGCGTAGTTGTAATCGCTGCTTTCATACCCGTTTCTGGCCGTTCCAACGTCTGGAATATCTCAACTTTTTCCCCATTGATTCTCTCTCTCTTGAGGCCAGGTCACCCTTTTCTGTTTCTTCCTGTGCTTGGGCTTGTGTCCTGGGCTGTCCTTGGAGTTACAGGTGTGGGGATCGGGGTGTTACATGCCCCTGAATAGTCCCAGCAGGCCGTTTCCTTGGCTGGACTCAGTTTCCAGGCCGGGCTGCACGCACACAGCTCAAGTCATTGAGCTACTTGGACAGAATTCATGTGTACATGTCAGCACGCTCCTCATGGCTCTGCTCTCCAAGAGATCCCCTCGCTTCACAGGTGCGGTCATTGCCCCAATGTCTGTCCTTTTATGAGACGGAAAGACGGAAAGACGAGTTCTCTTTGAGGTTTAGCCACTGACTAGGCCTTCCCTGAGGGGAAAACAAACCAACACAAAGGCAGGAAACTCACCCACTGCTCCGCCTTCTGACACGAATGGGTCCCTCCGGGTCTGCCCGCTCTCGGTCTCTCCTCTCCCCACAGATGCCGGTTTCCGCACCGTGTCCCCTTGTCCTAGAGGCTCTCGGTCTCTCCTCTCCCCACAGATGCCGGTCTCCGCACCGTGTCCCCTTGTCCTAGAGGCTGTCGGTCTCTCCTCTCCCCACAGATGCCGGTTTCCGCACCGTGTCCCCTTGTCCTAGAGGCTGTCGGTCTCTCCTCTCCCCACAGATGCCGGTTTCCGCACCGTGTCCCCTTGTCCTAGAGGCTCCCGGTCTCTCCTCTCCCCACAGATGCCGGTCTCCGCACCGTGTCCCCTTGTCCTAGAGGCTCTCGGTCTCTCCTCTCCCCACAGATGCCGGTCTCCGCACTGTGTCCCCTTGTCCTAGAGGCTCCCGGTCTCTCCTCTCCCCACAGATGCCGGTCTCCGCACCGTGTCCCCTTGTCCTAGAGGCTCCCGGTCTCTCCTCTCCCCACAGATGCCGGTCTCCGCACTGTGTCCCCTTGTCCTAGAGGCTCCCGGTCTCTCCTCTCCCCACAGATGCCGGTCTCCGCACCGTGTCCCCTTGTCCTAGAGGCTGTCGGTCTCTCCTCTCCCCACAGATGCCGGTCTCCGCACTGTGTCCCCTTGTCCTAGAGGCTGTCGGTCTCTCCTCTCCCCACAGATGACGGTCTCCGCACCGTGTCCCCTTGTCCTAGAGGCTCCCGGTCTCTCCTCTCCCCACAGATGCCGGTCTCCGCACCGTGTCCCCTTGTCCTAGAGGCTGTCGGTCTCTCCTCTCCCCACAGATGACGGTCTCCGCACTGTGTCCCCTTGTCCTAGAGGCTCCCGGTCTCTCCTCTCCCCACAGATGCCGGTCTCCGCACTGTGTCCCCTTGTCCTAGAGGCTGTCGGTCTCTCCTCTCCCCACAGAAGACGGTCTCCGCACCGTGTCCCCTTGTCCTAGAGGCTCCCGGTCTCTCCTCTCCCCACAGATGCCGGTCTCCGCACCGTGTCCCCTTGTCCTAGAGGCTCCCGGTCTCTCCTCTCCCCACAGATGACGGTCTCCGCACCGTGTCCCCTTGTCCTAGAGGCTCCCGGTCTCTCCTCTCCCCACAGATGCCGGTCTCCGCACTGTGTCCCCTTGTCCTAGAGGCTCCCGGTCTCTCCTCTCCCCACAGATGCCGGTCTCCGCACTGTGTCCCCTTGTCCTAGAGGCTGTCGGTCTCTCCTCTCCCCACAGATGCCGGTCTCCGCACCATGTCACCTTGTCCTAGAGGCTGTCGGTCTCTCCTCTCCCCACAGATGCCGGTCTCCGCACCGTGTCCCCTTGTCCTAGAGGCTGTCGGTCTCTCCTCTCCCCACAGATGCCGGTCTCCACACCATGTCTCCTTGTCCTAGAGGCTCCCGGTCTCTCCTCTCCCCACAGATGCCGGTCTCCGCACCGTGTCCCCTTGTCCTAGAGGCTGTCGGTCTCTCCTCTCCCCACAGATGCCGGTCTCCGCACTGTGTCCCCTTGTCCTAGAGGCTCCCGGTCTCTCCTCTCCCCACAGATGCCGGTCTCCGCACCGTGTCCCCTTGTCCTAGAGGCTGTCGGTCTCTCCTCTCCCCACAGATGCCGGTCTCTGCACCGTGTCCCCTTGTCCTAGAGGCTCCCGGTCTCTCCTCTCCCCACAGATGCCGGTCTCCGCACTGTGTCCCCTTGTCCTAGAGGCTCCCGGTCTCTCCTCTCCCCACAGATGCCGGTCTCCGCACCGTGTCCCCTTGTCCTAGAGGCTGTCGGTCTCTCCTCTCCCCACAGATGCCGGTCTCCGCACTGTGTCCCCTTGTCCTAGAGGCTGTCGGTCTCTCCTCTCCCCACAGATGACGGTCTCCGCACCGTGTCCCCTTGTCCTAGAGGCTCCCGGTCTCTCCTCTCCCCACAGATGCCGGTCTCCGCACCGTGTCCCCTTGTCCTAGAGGCTGTCGGTCTCTCCTCTCCCCACAGATGACGGTCTCCGCACTGTGTCCCCTTGTCCTAGAGGCTCCCGGTCTCTCCTCTCCCCACAGATGCCGGTCTCCGCACTGTGTCCCCTTGTCCTAGAGGCTCCCGGTCTCTCCTCTCCCCACAGATGCCGGTCTCCGCACTGTGTCCCCTTGTCCTAGAGGCTCCCGGTCTCTCCTCTCCCCACAGATGCCGGTCTCCGCACTGTGTCCCCTTGTCCTAGAGGCTGTCGGTCTCTCCTCTCCCCACAGATGACGGTCTCTGCACCGTGTCCCCTTGTCCTAGAGGCTGTCGGTCTCTCCTCTCCCCATAGATGACGGTCTCTGCACCGTGTCCCCTTGTCCTAGAGGCTGTCGGTCTCTCCTCTCCCCACAGATGACGGTCTCTGCACCGTGTCCCCTTGTCCTAGAGGCTGTCGGTCTCTCCTCTCCCCACAGATGACGGTCTCTGCACCGTGTCCCCTTGTCCTAGAGGCTGTCGGTCTCTCCTCTCCCCACAGATGACGGTCTCTGCACCGTGTCACCTTGTCCTAGAGGCTGTCGGTCTCTCCTCTCCCCATAGATGACGGTCTCTGCACCGTGTCCCCTTGTCCTAGAGGCTGTCGGTCTCTCCTCTCCCCACAGATGACGGTCTCTGCACCGTGTCCCCTTGTCCTAGAGGCTGTCGGTCTCTCCTCTCCCCACAGATGACGGTCTCTGCACCGTGTCTCCTTGTCCTAGAGGCTGTCGGTCTCTCCTCTCCCCACAGATGCCGGTCTCCGCACCGTGTCACCTTGTCCTAGAGGCTGTCGGTCTCTCCTCTCCCCATAGATGACGGTCTCTGCACCGTGTCCCCTTGTCCTAGAGGCTGTCGGTCTCTCCTCTCCCCACAGATGCCGGTCTCCGCACCGTGTCTCCTTGTCCTAGAGGGGGCAGCTGTGGTTTGGGGACGTTACTCCGACAGGAGCGGCTCCTCCATCACTGGCCCCGGGAGCGGAGTTTCAGTGTTGCCTGGAGACTCCAGCTGCGTCCAGTGGGGAGGGGTGGGACTGGGTGGAAGGAGCTGAAGGGATTAGTCAAAGAACATATATGTGTGGTCCATGGACACGGACGACAGTGTGGTGAAGGCGGGGTGGGGGGGTTGGATAAAGGGGGGAGGTGGGGGGCATGTGTAATAGTGTCACCGATTGCAAGAAAATGCTTACAATAAACATTTTTAAAAGAGAACAGTAGGAGCGCTTCTGCTGTAGCCCCATCCCAGGGAGGCTCGCCCTGGGCCCACCTCAGTGTCACACCTCGAACCCAGATCGTTCGAGTCCAAGGGAGATTACGCCCACTTCCAGGTGCTTCCAGAGCCAGTCAGACTGAGCTCTGCCACGGAGGCCTTGTTCCGATGCCGACAGGACGTGGCCACTCAGGCATCCGCTCCCCTGGCCTCCCTCAGTCCATTTATAGCTGGGCCTGGGGGAGGGAAGATTCCAGCAGGAGCGGGAGCCAACCCTGCAAGGACGTCCGTGCACTTGGGGCAGGGGAGACCCTTTGGCGTTTCCTGTCCGATCTTTTTGGTTTTTCAAGGTGAAGAAGTAGAAATTCTTGCCAATGTTTTTTTATTTTATTATTTTTTAATTTTTTTTTAAATTTTGTTTTATTGCTTAAAGTATTACAAAGAGTATTACATATGTATCCTTTTTTCCCCTTTGACATTCCCCCAGCTTCCCCTACCCCTCAGTGTCTTATGTCCATTGGTTATGCTTATATGCATGCATACAAGTCCTTCGGTTGATCTCTTACCCTCCTCCGGCCCCCCAACCCTCCCCGGCCTTCCCCCTGTAGCCTGACAGTCTGTTCCATGCTGCTCTGCCTCTGTATCTATTTTTGTTCATCAGTTTATAATGGTCTTTATTATCCATAAATGAGTGAGATCATGCGGTGTTTTCTTTCATTGTCTTGCCAATTCTTTCTGCCAGTCGGCATGTTTTAGGGCCCACCTTCCTACTTGCAATGCCAAAGGTTCCTTCGTTGTGTCCTTTTTTTAAATCCAAACTTCCCGACAGCTCTGATCCTGCTACAGTTTCCTCGGAAACCTCAGGGTGTCCCCGGAGGCTGAGACGAATGGTCAGAAAGTTTGTGTTTGAGTTTTCTTTCCTGGCCTGCTCGCCTGTGTCCTTCTTCTTGCCAGAAACGCCACGTCCCATCACTAGTCACGTGTCACATGCGGACATAACATGTCAGAAAACTGTGAGCGTTCACATCGTGTCCGCAGTGTCAGGAGGCCGACATTTTCCTCTGTCTGAATTGGCCACACCCTGTGAGCGGCAGGCCCACGTCTGTGGCCCTCGGCGCTCTGCATCCCTTCACAGCTCTGCAGAACTATTTGGGACGATGGTCCAGTACAGCTTCTGGGGCAGGAGCCATGTCCGGAGCCTTCGCGCGCTCCCTGGGTTCCTGATCGCGCTGTGGAGACCGGTCAGCTGGACGAGGAGGAGCGTGTGCTGTGATGAGCGCGCGGCACAGAGAATGTTTTAACGAGACAAACGTCTGTTCTGTTTCTAGTCAACACATCGATTCCCAACGTCACGGAGGTGAAGGAGAACATGACCTTCGGAGCCACGTTAGTCACCAACCCGAAGGGGGGGTTCCTGGTAAGAGAGCCCGGCGTGATGCTCGCCCAGTGATGGCGAACCTATGACACGCGTGTCAGAGGTGACACGCGAACTCACTTTTTTGGTTGATTTTTCTTTGTTAAATGGCATTTAAATATATAAAATAAATATCAAAAATGTAAGTCTTTGTTTTACTATGGTTGCAAAGATCAAAAAATTTCTACATGTGACATGGCACCAGAGTTAAGTTAGGGTTTTTCAAAATGCTGACACGCCGAGCTCAAAAGGTTCGCCATCACTGTAGCTAGTCCCTGGCCTGGGAAGGCTGTCGTGGTCCAGTCACGTCGATGCGGCAGTGTGTGACCTTATGCTTTCTCACTGTTTCACGTTCCCAAGGCGTGCGGGCCCCTCTACGCCTACCGATGTGGCCACCTGCACTACACGACCGGCATCTGCTCTGACGTCAGCCCCGCGTTCCAGGTGGTGAACTCCATCGCCCCCGTGCAAGGTACAGGCGGGGCCTGCTCTCTCGTGTCTGACAGCACGGGCTGAACGAGACCGTGTGCGCGCAGGAGCGGGCCTCAGAGCCTGAGCTGTCTGCTCTGCTACCAGCATGACCAAGTTAGGGAAAGGCTGGCTCTGCCCCTAGACAGCCAAACCTCACGGCTATTTTGGGAACTGATATTAGGGTAAACAACCCTCCGCAGAATGGTGTTTAAACACCCCGGCGGGAGCTGTCAGGTTGGTTTATGTAAAAGGGCGAGCCTGTTGGAGGCTGGTGGCCTCGTGCGAAAGACGCCCAGAATGAGAGCTGTCCTGAAGGGTGTCCCAAAATTCACGCAAGATTTGAATTTTGCATGAGCATTAACAACAACAACAACAAAAAATAAAAGCCTAATTTTACTTCGTTTATTGAATCAGATTCTAATATCTGTTGCCCTTTGATTTCAATCGCTTCAATTTGATAAGCATCACCAAGTACCAGTTATGGCCCAGGAGTAGGGACAATAAAGACCAATGAAGACCATGGCTTTGCGTCTGTGCCAGCAAAGCCGTGGAGGCCATTTACCCGAAGTGCTATTCCATACATAACCCTAGACTGTATACTTTATGAATCAATAAAAAATGTAGAATTTTTAATTATAAACCTGTGTTTTCTATCAAAATTACTTCTTGCGTGAATTTTGGGACACCCTTTATCAAGCTCACACTGGGGCAGGCTCAGCCATGCCCACGCGGTGTTAGAAGGTTAGGGGGAGAGGAGCTTTGCCTGGTCAGACCTCCGACCCCGTGGTTAAGGAATGCAATGGGCATCACTTCTGCTTTTTCTAACTGTTGTTTTTGGTCTGAAAGCCACACGCTTGCCCTGTAAAACGTCAGTGAGGCCTGGGCGCCCCCGGGGCCAGGAGCCCTCCTGCCCGAGGCGCACGCGCTGCCTGTCTTGCAGAGTGCGGCACGCAGCTGGACATCGTCATCGTGCTGGACGGCTCCAACAGCATCTACCCCTGGGACAGCGTCACCGCCTTCCTCAAAAACCTGCTGGAGCGCATGGACATCGGCCCCAAGCAGACGCAGGTGCGGCGGGGCGCGTGCACCCACACACGTGTCAGCACACACGAAACACAGATGTCCCCAGAAAGACGAGGCGGAAGGTGGCGAGCTAGCCTCAGCCCTCCCGGGGGCGCCACATGGCTGCCCCCAGCGAGCAGGCGCCTGGGGCTGGTGAGGGAGAGCCTGTGTGTGCCCTCAGGAGAACGGAGAACTCGAATCGGTGAAATCACTCACAGAGAATGGCATTTTGGTTGGTGGGTGTGGCTCAGGGGTTGAGTGTTGACCTGTGAACCAGGAGGTCAGGGTTTGATTCCCGGTCAGGGCAGATGCCCGGGTTGCGGGCTCCGTCCCCAGTGTGGGGTGTGCAGGAGGCAGCCGGTCCATGATTCCCTCTCATCATGGATGTTTCTCTCTCTCTCTCTCTCTCCCCCTCTCCCTTCCTTTCTGACATCAACTTTTTTAAAAAAAGAAGAAAATGGCATTTTCACATCAAAAAGTGTTCCTTCTCCTAGACCAGTGGTTCTCAACCTTGGCTGCACATTAGAATCACCTGAGAATCTTTTAAAAATCCTGATTTCTGGGCCTCATCCTCCGGAAATTCTGTTTCTTTGTTACTAATGTTGTGGCCTCACCCCGTAACCAAGAAACAGAATTTCCGGAGGATGAGGCCCAGAAATCAGGATTTTAAAAAGATTCCCAGGCGATTCGAATGTGCAGCCAAGGTTGAGAACCACTGCACTAGATGCAGGTGTCTGCTCTGCATTGAGCTTGCCCGTCAGCCGCCCGGGGTTGGCAAGGCTGGTGAGCCTCTTCGGATCTGTGACCTGCTCCTCTCCCTGGTCCGCACAGGCCTTATTTTGGCTTCCGAGGACTCGCTTCCCTGGGCCTCTCCCTGCTGGGTCAGTGGCTATCCTGGAGCCCTGACCGTAGAGAAGAAACGTTAGCGCTTGTGTAGCTAGGACTCTCGGGTCATGGAGGGGCCATGAGAGGCTGCTGCCTGGTGCGGGTTCGGCTTGCTGACCGCAGACCATCAGCCCCGACGGCAGCCCAGCGCCCTCCTTCCCGAGGCCCCGCTTCTGCCAAGGAGCACAGCACCCCTGCCGCCTGGAATCCTGGACCGCGGGTCTCCCGTCCATCCCTTCCGGGGTCCTCACCCTCCCTGGGCCAGTGGCTGCCCCCGCTGGGAGCCCCGGAGCTCCCTCCCTGTAAGGTGGTCCTGAGATCAGCGGCTGGACCCCGCTCTTCCCTCTCTCCCCTCCCCACACCCTCTCCTCCCTCCCCTGCTTCACCCACCCGTTTACCTTCCTAGCCAGTCCTTTCTTCCCAAATCTGATCATAGTCTTGAGACATTTGTAGATTTCTAATATTGTTGGTCATTGGAACATTTGATTTTACATTTAAGTCCCTTTATCTGTTTTGCTGTAAAACATGAATTGTGGGCAGCTCTGTGCAGAAGCCAGTGCAGTGAAGCCCCCTTTGTGGTTGCTGCCACTTCAGGGGGAGAGTCCACAGGACTCAGAGCTGTGGGCCCCTCTTCTGCGGGCGGGGCAGGCGCTGGCCATGCAGAGGGACACATCACCCATCACCCCCTGCCTCCGTGCTCGGCCCTGCGCGGTCTCCTGTTCCTAGCGGTCAGGGCCGCAGGGAGGGCTGCATGTCTGCAGGAGACGCACAGAGCAGCCATTCTCCCTCCCACGGAGGAATCCCAGCCGCCGGGGTGGGCTCCGGGGTCCGCCTTTCCTGGCAGGAACAACGCCTTCATTCAGAGGGATGCGGAGCCCGGGGCCAGGGCCACCCGCGAGGCCAGGGCTGGGCTGACCCCCAGGCAGACAGTCAAGTCCCAGTCCCGGGCTCCCGACCCCTTTCCACAGAGAGGGAGACCCCGGGTGCCACTCGCACCACCAGTTTGCCCAGGGCACCTGCTCCCTAAAGAGCAGGGCGCTGGGTGGATCGCTGGGTCTGTGCCTCCTGGGAGCTCAGCTGCTCGTGCGGCCTTCATTCCGTTTTCCCCTCCCCGAGGGCTTCCCCTGCAGCCATGCTGGGGGCCTCGGATGATCATGGAGAATGGGATGCGTCTGTGTGATGCCATGTTTCTCCCGCCGTGGCTCCTGGCACTCCTTCCTCAGAACCCCGGGGTGCTGGGGCCATCCCCCAACCTCCAGCACTGGGAGCTCGGAGGGTGGGCGTGGGGCCTGCATTTTAAGTAAAGAATCCACATAGTTCTCACACAGGCCAACGTGGGAGAAACACTGGGCTAGTGCAGTATTATTACACTAGAGGCCTGGTGCACGAAATCCATGTAAGAGTAGGCCTTCCTTCCCCCAGCTGCCATCACCGGCTTCCCTCTGGCACCCAGGACCCAGGCTTCCCTCGCAGCCCCAGCTTCATCCGGAAGGTCATCTGGAAGGATGTCTGGTCTAATTAGCATATTACTCTTTTATTATTATAGATTGTGTTTGCGGGCAGGTGTGTGTGTGTGTGTGTGTGTGTGTGTGTGGTTTTCAATTGAAGGGCCCAATCCTACCCTGAGATGGGCAGTAGCTTCTGGAATTTCTCCTCTCCCCCACCCACCTCCATGTCCGACAGGGGCAGGCACAGAGCTGTGCGGGGCCCAGAGGAGAGGGGAGAGCTGGGTGAGGCCTCCCGGATGCTCCCTCATGTCAGGAGTGGGAAGGCCTCGCTCATGTCAGGGGTGGGAAGGCCTAGCTCAGGTCAGGGGTGGGAAGGCTTGGAAGGGAGTGACAGGCTTTGGGAAGAGGGTTTCCCTGCAGAAGGAGCCTGTGGGAGGTTCACTGGGAGGTGCCGTGAGCTTGGATGTGTGTCGGGAGTTGAGGCACATGGGACTGCGGCTGCCTCCTGCGTCGGAGCAGAGGAGCCACACTGGGGCCGGGTCATCGGTGTGAAGAATGCATGTTGCCGGGGTCAGCATGGAGTTCTGCCAGCCCCTGTCCACAGGCCCCTGCAGGGAGGACAGAAGGGACCCTGTTTGGCCCTGTCCATAGGCCCCTGCAGGGAGGACGGAGGGGACCCTGTCCACAGGCCCCTGCAGGGAGGACGGAGGGGACCCTGTCCACAGGCCCCCGCAGGATGGACGGAGGGGACCCTGTCCACAGGCCCCCGCAGGATGGACGGAGGGGACCCTGTTTGGCCCTGTCCATAGGCCCCTGCAGGGAGGACGGAGGGAACCCTGTCCACAGGCCCCTGCAGGGAGGACGGAGGGGACCCTGTCCACAGGCCCCCGCAGGATGGACGGAGGGGACCCTGTCCACAGGCCCCCTGTCCTCCTGCAGGGAGGACGGCAGGTGGCGGCCGATTCCTCGGCTGCTGGTGGGAAACGGGCACTGGGAAAGAATGTAGGCGAGGTCAGAGCCCACAGACCTCACAGGACGCGGAAAGGCCTATTCGCACCGTCCGTCCTAGGAGGGGCCAGCAGTGGGGGGGCCTCTAGCCTTTCTGTACCTCCCACCTCTGTGGCCCCCCACCCCGCTGCCCCCCACTAGCCAGGAGCTGTAGCGGTGGCATCAGCAGCGCAGGGAGAGGAGCGGACAGGTCCCAGAGCCAGCCGGCCCCTTCCCGGCAGGCTCCCCTCCTGCATGGCAGGCAGTTAAGGAGCAGCGCCAAGGGTCTGGTTAGTTTTAATTCAGGTTGGACCAGATGACAGTGCTGCTATCTGATCATTTGACCTGCAAATACAGCAGTTTCATGCGGTAAAACCCACGTTAAAATACAGGACTTTTAAAGGGCCAGATGTTTCAACACTGAGGATAAGAAAAGCCATGAGCCCTGTATCTACACCCAGGCATCGCAGAACAACTTTACGCTCAACTAGTTGTAAAGGGACAATGGGCCAAAGAATTGTGTTCTGATTAGAATCGTACCCCTTATCCATGGGGTACGTTCCAAGACCCCCCCCCCCCCGCCCAGTGGATGCCTGAGGTCACATAGTACCAAGCCCCATTATATACTGCTTTCCCTGTACGTACATATCCGTGATAAACCTCAGTTTATAAACGAGGCATAATAAGAAATTGACAACAATGTGTCTGAGTCCCAGCATCTCTACTCTGGCTCTTTGGGGCCGTATTATTCCGCAGGATAAGGGGACTGGGCACCAGCACTGCGATGCCTGGAGTGCCACCTGGTACCCCAGACAGACACTGAGTGACTGACGGGCAGGGAGCCTGTGCAGTATGGATGCTCCGGACTCGGACATGCCCCCCATCCTGGGTGGGGTGGAGCAGGGTGTGTGTGTGTGGGGGGGGGGGCGGGCTGAGGCAGGGATTTCATCACGCTGCTCAGCACAGCATGCAGTTTAAAGCTATGGATTGTTTATTTCTGGAATTTCCCTTCTAATATCTCAGACCCCAGTTAACCACAGGTAACTGGGACACTGACAGCGAAACCAGGGGTGAGGGGGCTGCATCTTTCCCGGGTTCCTGCTTGTCACGTTGACGACGTTTATAGTACATACCGGGTACAGTGGAGGGGGGCCCTGGGAGAGGGGGGGCTCTGCGGCCTCTGCTCTGCCATCAGGGTGTCCTTAGTGACTGCAGGTACCTACAGGCGTCTCCCAGGTGTGGAGCACCCCTGGAAGTGACTGCCCCTCCAGGAGAAGCAGGGGAGGAGGGAAAGGAGGGAGGAAGGAGGGAGGGAGGCGGCAGCAAGGGAGTACACAGGCTTCCGCAGGAGAAGTCTGCACATCGCGGGGTGCAGCGCCGGGACAGGAACAGCCATGCTGAATGCAGTACCCCCATCTGCATTTTCGCTTTCTGTGGTTTCAGTAACAGTGGTCAGCCGCGGTCTGAAAATATTCAATGGAAAATCGCAGAAATAAACGGTCCGTAAACTGTAAAGGGCGAGCTGCTCTGGGGGAGTGATAAAATCTGCCCGTCCGCTCCGCCCCCGGGACGTGAGTCACCCCTTTGTCCAGCGTCTCGCACGAAGGGATCTGAGAGAGAGGCCGCGTTCACGCAGCTCTTCTGACGGTGAATTGTTTTAATCGTTCTGTTGTGTTGGTGATTGTT